GAAAAGGGACTGTTTTCGTCCGAAATGCCTAATCAACATGTAGGAGTCATTGCCAGGAGGGGTGGCAAAGGCTGGCAGCTTAGGCAGGTTCGCAGAGGGATTAAGTGTTTAATGGGTAATGAGAGCAATTGCAGGTAGGATTTGAAATGCCTGTTGATGGCAAATGAGCTSTTGCCTGCCTTGGAGGATAAGCCAGGCTCTGGCTGCCTGGAACGGGCTGAGAAGRTGCTTAGGCAGTTTATGGGAGGTCTTACTCCATGGGATTGGGCTCTGCAGAGCTGCTTGGTCCGTGCTTTGAAACATCCTGGCGTGAGAGCGAGACATGGGTTTGGATGTATCACATAATTGAGTAGATTTGCAGAAATTGGGTTGTTTTAGCCTGGCTCCCATCTTTTCTGCACCAGTTTTGGTGCCTGTAGCCTGATCAGGAATGGAGGAGAGCAGTTAAATTTCCCCTCTAGGATGTGCTATCTGCAAATCCCTGCACATGTGGCATCTGGAGGGCTTCACCTGCAGAGGTGCTGGGCTTGGAGGAGAGACTTCATCAGCCTGGAGGAGCCACAAGTGTTTTTACAGAATGCCCTCTTGTCCMTATGACTGTTCCCACAGCCTTGCCCATCCCTGGTAACTGTTGCTCTCCCCACTGTACCAACCATGAGCCAGCCTGTGCTCAGGTGCATCCCTGAACTTGCTCTGTGAAGGGAAGATCCWCATCCTTTCCTCTGCAGCTTTGAGAGCCTTTTTTCCTCAAGCTGCTCAAGCCATTTCTGGGGTGTTTTTCTTCCAGAGGAAAGCTGGTCAGAGATGCCCAGTCAGGCTGTCCCTTTGTTTCCCCGAGGCTGACAGGAGCAGGGGCTTTCTCTCTTCTGGGATGAATTTCCCCCTCCCAGCTCCTGCAGAGGCAGAATTTGATGCAGGGCAGAGTCAGTGCTGGTCAGTGACCGAGCAGCCTTTGCTGAGGGGTTTTTATTTTATTTTTAACATCTGGYGACRCTGGGTCGAGCCAAAGGTCTGYRTGCCCTGYGTGCTGCAGTGGAGGATGCTCGGGGGAAGATCATGGAACCAGGACAAGGAGGGAGTGATGGAGCTGYCCTGTCACCCTCACAGCGTGCCACCACCCGTGAGCGGGGACTCCCAGCCCTGGTGGCAACATCTGAACCACCAGGTGGATTCCCCCCTTGTTAATTTGTCTAAGGGCTGTTAGTGCTCATTTCTCTGGGTCATCCCAGCATCCTGCAGGAGGGACTTTCATGCCTTAATGAGGTACAATATGTAGAAATAAACCCTGTATTTTATAGGCTCGTGGAATGGTTTGGGTTGGAAGTGACCTTAAAGATGATCCAGTCCAACCCCCTGCCACAGGCAGGGACACCTTCCACCAAACCAGGTTGTTCCAAACCCCATCCAACCTGGCCTGGGRCCCTCCCAGGGATCCAGGAGCAGCCATCTGGACAACCTGTTGCTGTGAGAACTCGTTTGCTTTGGGCCAGCATGTCCCTCTCAAATTCCAGTCTGCCGACACACTGGTGATTTGCAAAGGAAACAGCTTTAGTGATGGCTGCCACCAGGGAGTGACCAGCAGTGCCTGCAGGTGATGTCGTGCATGTAAAAGCTGCTGCTGTGGGCATCTCTGCCTGGCAGCCTCCCTAAGGAGAAAGGAGCTGGAACCAAAGTGGTTTAAYGTGCTCAAAAATCTGCATTTGCAGCGCCCGGCGTCGGTCGGGAAAGAGCACGGGACAGAGCTGGGCACAAAGGCAGGGCTTAGCTCGGTTGGTTTGTGAGTGTCCTTGGCTAAAAKCTCCCTTTAACAAGAAGGGGGAAAAAAAAGAGAACTTTTAAGATGACGTGTCTTGAATGAGCCCGGCCCAGTAATGCTCTGGCTGCGTCTGATCCAAAACTTCTCATGCGGAAGAAAGCAAAAATAGGCCAAGTCAGAGAGGATAATTCAGCTGGGCAGGGCAGCAAGAGCAGCTCTGTTTGGGTGCCTGGAAGCCCTCAGGATACCACTCCTGCATGCCAGGAGCTCAGGCTGCAGTTTGGGGTGGTCACTGCTTCCAGGGAGGACAGAGGTGTAAGGCATTTGCAGGATGCTCATCCCACCAGGGCTTTCCATCCTGTGTCTTGTGTTGGACCCATCTCCATCCTGGGTCCTTCTAAAAACCCTAAGTTTCCCAAAAGTGCCTGGCCCAAATACCTTTGCTTTAGAGTTTTTTTTTATTGTGGGGTGTTTTTTTTGGTATTTTTTTCCCCTCCTGAATAATGACAAAATAAATTGTATTTCCTTGTCAGCTCTTCTGCAGTAAGGTGGCAGGGAGACAGTAATTGCTCCTCACAGCACTGCGAGAGAGCTGTAACAAAATTACAGCTGGGAGTGAAATTGAGGCCTTTTTAAAATAGAAACTGGAGGAAAGAAAAGGGCAGGTATTGCTTAAAATAAGGAAAAGTAAGCCCAGAGTCCCTGCTGCCCTTGGTGATGGTTGTTGATGCTTTCTGCAGCCCAGGAGATCATGTCCTGGTCATGATGGTGTCACCTTTGTCACTGCTATGGATTTCTTTAAGATTTTGTCTTGTTGTATTTGTGTTCAAATGGCACAGGCAGGGGTGCTTTCTCCCCACAACAAAGCATGGGGAAGGCATCCTTCAAACCCCAGTGGGTGGGAAGGGGTCCAGACAAGGATCCTGGTGATGTGGGAGAGCTGSTGGAGGAGGGTGACCCCTCTAGGAACGGTGACGAGATTTTGGTGCTGCTAGCTGGACTGGGGGAAAAAAGGAGATGCTTCCACATGATCCTTCATCTCCAGAGGGAGCAGTCTCCCTGATTTGCAGAGGTGCCACCCAAGAGGAGAAGCCTCCAACCCTCTGTCCTCCAGCTCAGCAAGCCCCCTGTCTGTCCCTCCGGGGTGCTGCCTCAGTTTCCCCGCTCCGGGACGCTCCCGCTGATGCCGATCTCTGTCCCCTGCAGGGCTGCTGGTGCGGGAGGTGCAGATCGAGGTGTCCCGGCAGCAGGTGGAGGAGCTCTTTGGCCTCGAGGATTACTGGTGCCAGTGCGTGGCCTGGAGCTCGGCGGGCACCACCAAGAGCCGCAGGGCCTACGTCCGCATCGCCTGTGAGTGCCCTGTCCCCAAAGCCTGCCTGCTCCTCCTCTCCTTGACCCATTTGGGACACCCCATCCTTGCTGGTTCGTTTTCTCTCCCCATCCCAGCTCTTGACCCATTTAGGACACCCCATCCTTGCTGGACTGCCCTGGTTTTCTCTCCCCATCTCAGCTTTTTCTCTGAGTGTCATTGTCCCCACCCTGCTGAGATGGTGGCACTACAGCACTTCCCAGGGGTTTATTCTTTTTAATAACCCAGTGGATGGCACCTGGCACTCTCTGCCTGAACCAGCRACTCCACATCCTCYGTGTCCCTGCTGTCACTTGTCACTGCCCTGAGCTGCTGTTTTAGGGTGTCAGCCTGATTAAAGGCGCCGAGGTGGCAAGGCTGCAGGAGAGCAGCCCGGCTTCCCCCATCCCAAATGGATTAATAATACAATAATATGATTATAATATATAAAGATATTCTATTATTAACTAATAATCCAACATGGTATTCAAAACAGAGATGGCTGGTGGATCAGCTATGCTGCTGGAGGGTTTGGTCTGACCAGGAAAAATTACAGAATCACAGAATGTTTTGGATTGGAAAGAACTYTAAAACTCACCCCATTCCAACCCCTCTGCCATGGGCAGGGACAGCTTCYGCTGGACCAGCTTGCTCTGAGCCCCGTGGACCCTGGCATTGAATATTTCCCTGGTGTTTTTTGGAGCACAGGGTTCAGGAGCCACGTGGAGAGGGCTGGGAGCTGTAGTGAAGGATTGCAGCACCATCTAGTGATGCTTAAGCTCCTTCCAGGCCTCTGGAACGGGATGCTGCCGTGTCCCCCACATCCCATGGGGTTCTGCTGGGAGGGATGGAGAAACGGTGGGCAAGCTGAGGTTTGGCCCCAAAATGAAGAGACTGGGTGGGGGTATAAGCTTGCAAGCACATTGCAAGGAGGGAAGATATCCTTGAGCATCATGTGCTGCCCCAAATCCATCCTGGCAAACATTATCCTTCAGCTCCCTCCTCCCAGGGCGCGCTTTGCCCCTGGTTGTGCTGTGCCAGAGGGATTTCCTGACTTGTGGACGCTGGGTGTGGAGGTGCCCACCGAAGTTTTGGAGGTGTCCCTGTTCCTTCTGCAGGCTGGTAACCCCTGGCTTTGCCTTCCCCTTGCAGAYCTGAGGAAGAACTTTGACCAAGAGCCGCTGGGCAAGGAGGTGCCACTGGAGCATGAGGTGCTGCTGCAGTGCCGTCCCCCCGAGGGGGTCCCGCAGGCTGAGGTGAGCAGCTCCCAAAGGAATGTGGGGTGTCCCATCCCATCCCATCCCACCCCATCCCATGGATCCCATCCCATCCTACCCCATGGATCCCATGGATCCCATCCCATGGATCCCATCCCATGGATCCCATCCCATGGATCCCATCCCATGGATCCCATCCCATGGATCCCATCCCATCCCATCCCATCCCATCCCATCCCATGGATCCCATCCTACCCCATGGATCCCATCCTGTCCCATCCCACCATGGATCCCATCCTATGAATCCCATCCCATCCCATGGATCCCATGAATCCAATTCCATCCCATGGATCCCCTCCCATCCCATGGATCCCCTCCCATCCCATGGATCCCATCCCATGGATCCTATGGATCCCCTCCCATCCCATGGATGCCATCCCATCCCATGGATCCCTTGGATCCCATCCCATCCCATCTGGGGATGGGTGACCTGTCAGCTCTCATTCAGCAGAATGGGTGATTTTGGGCAGCACCTGCTCAGCCCATTTCTCCCACACTTGCTGAGGTGTCACTAACCCCTCGGAGGGAAGGTCTGAGGAGGAGGCACCCATTGAGTTCTCTGGATGGGAGCCAAGGGCTGGGGAAGGCAGTGCAGATGGGTTCCCTCACCGAGGCAATGGAGCTTTACTGCCCCCAGCTCCATCAGCCCATGGGAGCTGTGTGTTGGAGGCAGCCACAGCATCTCATCCTCAGCCAGAACAGAAGTAATGTGCCCCCCTCAGGCCCAGTTTTTGAGGAAAAATAAATCCAATCAGAGGCCAGGTTGTGCRGTCAGTGGTTGAGGTGCTGAGGATATTGTTGGTCTCAGTGATGAATCCCCACCTCGCTCTTCCCTGCCAGGTGGAGTGGCTGCGGAACGAGGACGTCATCGATCCCACCCAGGACACCAACTTCCTGATCACCATCGATCACAACCTCATCATCAAGCAGGCYCGGCTGCTGGACACTGCTAATTACACCTGCATGGCCAAGAACATCGTGGCCAAGCGCCGCAGCACCACGGCTGCTGTCATCGTCTACGGTACCAGCCCGTGCTCTGGGGAGGGGACTTTGGGGCTGAAAAATGTGGAAAATTGGCTGGAAATTCCCATGCCTATGGGAAACGTGGGCTGTTCCTGGGAATGGTGGGAGGGAGTAAAATCAGTGCTTTAGATGAGGGGATAACCAATATCTGCACAAGAGGAGCCTCCAATGGCTCACGCTGCAGGCTGTGAGGAGAGGTTTGAGGTGGAGGGGTGGAGGTATTTCCAAGAATTGGTGGGATGGTGGATGGAGGTGTGATCCAGATGGATTGCTCTGACTCTCAAAACAGCTGGAAAGCTGGGTTTGGCTTTTGCTATAAAATCAAAAATCTCCTCGAGGCCTGGCATGTAAATATTTTCCAAATGGAAGAAGGACCAAAGCCGTTTTGAGCATCTCAGGCTGTGGGGTGGGGCTCTCAAGAGGGAGTTTCATGATTTACTTTTCACGAGGGTGAGCTGTGAAGATGAAGATGTAAGGGCTTGAGGCTTAGCCCCAGCCCAAGGCTGCAGTGTTGAGTGTGCCCATGTCCTGTGCAGTGAACGGTGGCTGGTCCACCTGGTCCGAGTGGTCACCGTGCAACAACCGCTGCGGCCGGGGCTGGCAGAARCGCACCCGCACCTGCACCAACCCCGCCCCGCTCAACGGCGGCTCCTTCTGCGACGGGCAGCCCTTCCAGAAAATCACCTGCACCACCCTCTGCCCAGGTGAGCAGGGCCCAGAAACCACCAGGCTGTGGTTGGGATTGTTGGCTTTGTGCAGCCTGGACAAGGGAATGCTCTGAGGTGACCTTCCAGTACCTCAAGGGAGCTGCATGGAACATGGAGAGAGATTATTTACAAGGCCTGGAGGGACAGGACGGGGGGCAGTGGCTTTCCACTGCCAGAGGGCAAGGTTAGGTGGGATATTGGGAAGGAACTCTTCTCTGTGAGGGTGGGCAGGCCCTGGCACAGGGTTCCAGAGAAGCTGTGGCTGCCCCTGGATCCCTGAAAGTGTCCAGGGCGAGGTTGGACTTGGGGCTTGAAGCAGCCTGGGATAGTGGAAGTTGTCCCTGCCCATGGCAGGGGAGGTGGAATGAGATGATCTTTAAGGTCTCTTGCAACCTCAACCTTTCCGTGATCATACAAAGTTTTAGTCTCTGAGAGCTGGAGGGTTTGCAGAGACACAATCAACCTCCCAGCCAGCAGCAGGGCTGGGATAACACTCCCCAAAGGAATGGGATAACACTCCCTCTCTGCTGCTGGCGACGGGGGAACAACCCCCCGAGGGTTTCACTGACCCCTGTGTCCGGTGCCCTCAGTGGACGGCGCGTGGACGGAGTGGAGCAAGTGGTCAGCGTGCAGCACCGAGTGCACCCACTGGCGCAGCCGCGAGTGCACGGCCCCCGCGCCCCGCAACGGCGGCAAGGACTGCAGCGGGGTGCTGCTGGACTCCAAGAACTGCACCGACGGGCTCTGCCTGCTCAGTGAGTAGCCAGCAGGGTGGCCACGGGCCTGGGGACGTGCCACAGGAGGAGGTGCCACCGGCGCGCTGGCATTTGGCCGCGTTGTACTGGCCGTGCCTCCAAGCTGATAAACAGCCGCTGCCACCAGAGTTTTGTGTCTTCAAAAAGGTGTCTTCACCCCTTCCAAAGTTAGTTCTTGCCTGGAGGAAAGAGATATTGGGGATTTTTGGTGGAATCTGAATGTGCCAATGGCATTCCCTGTTCCCCCTGTAGGTTTGGGGTCTCTGCTGAAATAAAGCTGGCTGTGGGTAGAGGGGGAGCCAGGAGGGTTTCTAAGCCATGGGAACACCTTTCCTGGGTCATGGCTGGGAGCTCTGGAGGTGTTTTTTTGAGGAAATAAGCCCATAAAGTTGGTAGTGGTGCTGCTACCTGTGCCTGGGCAGGCTGAAGCAGCCAGTGCTGCCACCTGCTGCCGTGTGACACCGCTGTCCCCTTTACTAATGGGGCACGGGGATGTCCCTGTCACTGAGCTTCTCCCTGGCCTTTGGAACACCCCAGAGAACGATGCTGATCTCCCACACCCCTGGGCTGGCTTACCTCCCACTTTCTGTTCCATCTCATCCCCATCACCACCTTCACCTTTTTCTTTTCTAACTTTGTTTTTCCTAACAGATAAAAGAATTCTAAACGAGCCCAAAAGCCACCGTAAGTGCTCATTTCACAGCCATTTCTTTTTTTCATTTGTTTGTTTCTTTGGTTTTGTTCTGTTGAATTCACGGTAGGGCCTCCCTGGGCAAGGATGGGGGGGAAGAGGGAGCAACTGGAGGGCACTCTAAAGCTCCTGCGTGCTCCTCAGGGTGTCTCTGTGAGGATATGAGGGTTTCTCAGAGCTTCATGAGCCTGAGCTGCACAAAACTGATGTTTCTGGGGCCCTCGGTGCTTGGGTGAAGTTTGCACGAGCTGTATCCTCCAAAATTCTGAGGGCTTCACCTCCATCTCATTCTCTGGCATTGCTCTTGACTTCCTGCTTTTAGAAAACTCCCTCCATCCTCACACCAGSCTCTCCAGCAGGCCCAGGGCACATCTTTCCCCCCGTACCAGAGTCAGTGGTGGGGTTGGGGAGCACTGGTGGCTCTTGACGTGCRTTTCTGCTGCTCCTTTTCTCACCTCTGCACCTTTGATCCCTCCCAGTGCTGGAAGCCACGGGCGACGTGGCCCTGTACGCCGGGCTGGTGGTGGCCATTTTCGTCTTCATGGTGATCCTGATGGCCGTGGGGGTGGTGGTGTACCGGAGGAGGTGCCGGGACTTTGACACAGACATCACGGACTCGTCGGCCGCGCTGACCGGAGGCTTCCACCCCGTCAACTTCAAGACATCCCGGCACGGTAAGAGCCGCGCTCCGTGGAGGTGCAGGCTGAAAGGAGGGCACAGCACRGGGTGGAGCCTCACTGAGCCCCCAGTCCTGAGGAGAATCTGCTGSTTTTGGAAGGCTGAAGCTCCTGGAAGGGGTCAGATGTCGATGGTGGAAATCAGGGCAGCCTGGTCCTGTGGGAGGAGCCTCGAGGGTGGAACSAGATGGTTTTGGKGTCCAGTCCAACCCAAACCRTTCTTCCACTCAAGCAGTGCTTTYCCATGCCCATCCTTCCTCACCCCATRCATGTTTCCTGGTCCCACAGACAACCCTCAGCTGCTGCACCCCTCGATGCAGCCGGACCTGACGGCCAGCGCGGGCGTYTACCGCGGCCCCATGTACGCCCTGCACGACTCGTCCGACAAGATCCCCATGACCAACTCGCCGCTGCTGGACCCCCTGCCCAGCCTCAAGATCAAGGTGTACAACTCCTCCACCGCCTCCTCCTCCTCGCCGGGGCTGCACGACGGCGCTGATCTGCTGGGGGGTGTCCCTGCTGGTGGCACCTACCCGGGGGACACGGCCAGGGACGGTCACTTTGCCAGCGTGCGGGGCAAAGGCTTGGGCTCGCAGCACCTGCTCAGCCTGCCCCGTGAGCACGGCTACAGCGCCAGCGGCACCTTCGGCTACCTGGGGGGAAGGCTCACTGTGCCAGGCACAGGTAAGCTCCAGGCTGGGGTGTTTGTTTGCTGAACCATTGAGGAGTTGCTCTGCTCCTGGCAGAATTCCCTTTGCTGTCCCGGCTCAGGGAAGGAAGGTAGAAAGCCATTCCTGAGCCAGGCATCTCAGGCTGGAGGCCACAGTCTCCTTGGGTTTTCCCTGCCATTGRTCCAGGGCCAGCACCCTGCAAAAAGATCCAAAGATCAGAATTTTATTTCTAATAAAGAAAGTGCATTGGCCTGGCTTATGCTTGCAAGCTGTGCAGCCGTGGGCCATCCCAGAGCATTTCTAGCTGCTCCTGGATCCCTGGAAGTGTAYCMGGCCAGGATGGGTGGRGCTTGGAGCACCCTGGGATAAGGGAAGGTGTCCCTGCTCRAGGCAGGGGACTGGAATGGGATGATCTTTAAGGTYCCTTSTGACCCACACCATCCYGATTTCTGTGATCTGGAGGTGTCTCTCTTTGCACTGCTCTGGCTCCCTGCTGGCTGGGGTGGGGGGTGGTTTCTCCCTGCTTTCTCCTAGTCCATGACTGATCCCTGTGTGTGCCATTCCAGGGGTGAGCCTGCTGGTGCCCCACGGGGCCATCCCCCAGGGCAAGTTCTACGAGATGTACCTGGTGCTCAACAAAGCTGACGGTGCCCTGTAAGTCACCCCGCTGGCCACCCTCTCCTTATGGGTCACCGTGGAGTTCCCTGCCTSACCCCTGTCCCCTGTGTGTCCCCAGGCTGCCCTCGGAGGGCACGCAGACAGTGCTGAGCCCGGCGGTGACCTGCGGGCCCACGGGGCTGCTCCTGTGCCGCCCCGTCGTGCTGACCGTCCCCCACTGCGCCGACGTCGGCTCCTCGGACTGGATCTACCAGCTGAAAACACAGTCCCACCAGGGAAACTGGGAGGTGAGCTGGGARCCCAGTCCCTGCAGCCAGCAGGACACAGCCCCTCGGACAGCAGGCTGACCCCCATCTCTCCTCGCAGGAAGTGGTGACCCTGGACGAGGAGACCCTCAACACCCCCTGTTACTGCCAGCTGGAAGCCAAGTCCTGCCATGTCCTGCTGGACCAGCTCGGCACCTACGTCTTTGTGGGAGAGTCCTACTCCCGCTCGGCCATCAAGAGGCTCCAGCTGGCCATCTTTGCCCCCACTGTCTGCACCTCCCTGGAGTACAGCCTCAAGGTCTACTGCCTGGAGGACACGCCAGATGCCCTGAAGGTAAAGATTCCCTTCCCAAGGCCCTCTGTGCTGGCAGCAGGATGGCCTGGCCCCAGGGAGCAGGCAGCCTGATGCAACTGCCTGCAAAGTGACCACCGGGAAATTATGAGGTGTTCACTGTTTTCCCTGTCCTTCCTCGCCCTCGCTGAAGAAATCAGGGAGGGTGTTGTGCAGCTCCTCTGCTTGCTCTTGCAAGCATTGCTTGAGAGATTTGGCTGATGATTGGGGGTTTTTATAGCTCCTGTTATTCCTGCATGGATCCGTGTCCCTCCCTGCCTTGGAAGGGGTTTGTGGCATAGATGAGATTCAGTGAATCACAGAAAGTTGGAATTCGGATGTTTTGGCTGCCTGGACCCAGTGGTGCAGTGGCTGTTGGATTCCCTAGGGATCCTGTTGGAATTGCCATGCTGCCTCTGGGTGGGGCTGTAGGCAGGGCTCTGGCTCCTGGGTTGTCTTTTTCTTCTGAAAGCTGCCAGTGTCWTGAAGGGATGGTGCTAAAAGCTCCYTGTGTTGGAGCTTTGTGTTCTCCGAGGAGCACAGAGGCATTTATGGATGCTCTCGTTAGGAAATTCAAGTTTTAGGTGGGGCTGGTGTATGAGATGAGTTGGCAAGCTCCATGGAAGTGGCGAAAGCCGTTCTGCACTGGCTGGTGGCTGCTGCTGGCTCTCCTTAGCAGCTCCTCTCCCTGCTYCCTGCCTGGCTTTGGGCATGGAGGTGGACAGGGGAGCAGCCCCTKCCCTGCTGCTGGCTCTCACGCTGCCCGTGCCCCTGCCTGCAGGAGGTGCTGGAGCTGGAGAGGACGCTGGGAGGGTACCTGCTGGAGGAGCCCAAGCCCCTGCCCTTCAAGGACAGCTACCACAACCTGCGCCTGTCCATCCACGACATCCCCCACGCGCTGTGGAGGAGCAAACTGCTGGCCAAGTACCAGGTGAGGGGCTCAGTGGGATGCTCCCCCCTGTGAGGTGCTGCTGTCCCATCCCATCCCTGGTGGGGTGGCTGGAGGAGGTGGGAGCTGCTGGAGCCTTTGCTGAGGCTGYGCTTTGGTGTGGCACAGGAAATCCCCTTCTATCACATCTGGAGTGGCAGCCAGCGYGCCCTGCACTGCACCTTCACGCTGGAGAGGTACAGCCAGGCCTCCACCGAGCTCACCTGCAAGATCTGCGTGCGGCAGGTGGAAGGGGAAGGGCAGATCTTCCAGCTCCGCGTCACGCTGGGAGAGGTGAGCGGGGGGCAGGTGAGCGGGGGGACAGCGGGGGACACGCTCAGATGTTTCAGCAATGCTCTTCCTCTTCCAGCACGGCAGCTCCTCCGACACCCTGCGCTCCCACCACAGCGGGGCCACCACCAGCAGCACCAGCACCACCCAGGTGGGACCCTACGCCTTCAAAATCCCCCTGTCCATCCGGCAGAAGATCTGCAACAGCCTGGATGCTCCCAACTCCAGGGGCAACGACTGGAGACTTCTCGCCCAGAAGCTTTCCATGGACCGGTGCGTCTCACCAGGCTTTGCTTTCCCTTCCTGTGCCCCTGGCAGGGAGGCTTCCTTCACTCTTCCTTCACTCTTCCTCCACTCTGGGTTGTGTCCAGCTGTGGAGCTCTATCTGTAAATGAGGATACAGCTCTGCAGGGTTCTATCCGTGGATGTGGTTTTAAACTAAAAGAGGAGAGGTTTAGATGAGATAKGGGGAAGAAATTCTTTCCCATGGGGATGGTGAGGCCCTGGCAGAGGGTAGCCAGAGAAGCTGTGGCTGCCCCTGGATCCCTGGAAATGTTCAGAGCCAGAATTGATGGTGCTTGGAACACCTTGGTCCAGTGGGAGATGTCCATGCCCATAGCAGGGGGTGGAACAAGATGTCCTGAAGTTCCCTTCCACCCCAARCCATTCTGGGATCCACCTGTGCCACAGACATGTGTCTCTTGTCACTGTGAATGGCCCTAATTTATCCAGGACCATGGCTGTGCCATTCCCACCTGRTTTCACCCTCAGCACTGAAGGGAGAGAGGGTGACTTCATCAAAGCAAAGCTTTCATTGCTTTTGCATGAATGCCAGAGCAAGACAGTCTCTTGAAGGCTTTGGTGTTTGTGTCACGGCATTCCCATCAAAGTTCACATTCCAATCAGGTTTGCTGCTCCAGYATCCTCCCTCCTGCCCTCTCCAGGGGCCACCACAGCAGCCCAACCCTGCTCTGCTTCTCCCTTGCAGGTATCTGAACTACTTTGCCACCAAAGCCAGCCCCACCGGGGTGCTCCTGGACTTGTGGGAAGCTGAGCACCAGGATGACGGCGACCTCAACAGCCTGGCCAGTGCCTTAGAGGAGATGGGCAAGAGCGAGATGCTGGTGGTCATGGCCACCGAGGGGGACTGCTGATGGTGCTCCCCACACATGGGGGGCCGGGARGATGAAACAGGGGGTGAGGAAGGGTCCTCCCCTGATGGCGGGGGAGGCACATCCGTCCTGAGTGGGGAGGGGCCGAGGCCGGCGCTTGTCCCACGTCACTGTCAGCCTTAGAGACCYATCCTCAGCGTTTACAAGCGATTCCAAGTGTTACACAGCGTTCCTCTCCCTCCTCTGCTCAGGGCATGGGGAGGAATTAGGGCTTCTCRAGTTGGGATGGGGGCTTTCCTTTTTCCTTCTTCTTCTGGGTACCCTTCCTCGTCTTTTAATGGCATTTCTGCGTTGAAGAGATGAGTACAATCCAGGCTTAGCTTCAGGCAGCTTAACAAGGCAAATAAGAACGAAAAAGAAAAAAAAAAGTTTCTTAGGAAACGCAAATAATTTATTATCCAGATCTTTGGATACATCCTTTTTTAAAAAAAAAAGAAAAAAAAGAAAAAAAGACAGATTTATAAATTCTTTTTTGTGTGTGTGTGAGAGCAAGAGCGTTGCTGTGGTTGGGGTGGCAGAGAGAGATTTCAATGGACACACTTCTGTAGGGAAAAGTGTATGATCTGAGTGGAGCAAAACATGTTTACATGTCCTGAGACCCCAGGGAGCCYGGAGGGGGAAGTGCCTCTCCGCCCCTCTGATTCAGGGCCAGCTCTGACCCTTCCCAAGACTTTTTCCTGGCAAATTCCCCTTTCCCTGGCAGCAGGAACGAGGAGGAGTCCCACTCCACCTACAAGGGATGCTGCCCTGTGTTCAGGGTTCAGGGAGGGGAGWGTGTGTTGAGATGTGGGTGTTTTTAATGAATTCTTCCCTGGCATGGTTTGGGGRAGCTTTTTAGGGTGACTGCGCCTTCATTTACATAACTTCAGTACAAACCAAAGATTTCAGTCCTGCGCTCTTGAGGCCAAAGCGGGGACTGTTTTAAACACGGCAAGATTGTGCAGTGAGCACCCCAGACTTGGGCTGGGAGGGAGGTGGTCAGTGSATGGTCAGGGGGTGGAGGGCTGGGATGTGGCCACTTCAGCCCACCTCCACCTCGGGTCCTACCTGGATTTTGATCCAGTGTTTCAGCAGGGATTCAGGGAGGGATGCTCTGCTGTTCCCAAGGTGTGAGCCAGGCTGAGCATTTCCATTGTGAGCGGTGATCAGGTTTCCATCCCTCACTGCAGCTCCTGCTGTTCCCTGTAATACGCTTTTTATAACGACAGAGAAGTTGTGGGGCGAGTGGAAAGCAATCAAGGGGTAGGCAGGAACGAGGTTCCTCACACAGATACGGTGTCTTGATGAAGGTAAAAAAAATTAGGTTGCCTGCAGGTAGAAATAGTTACTCAGCGAGTGCTGTATCTTAGAAATTTGTCTGTTTAAAAAAGAAAAAAAAATACAGGAAAGGGGTGGTAAGCTCAGGATTAGATGAGGTCACAGGGCAGGGGTGCAGATTCTCCRTGGGTGGAAGGGTTAGGAGCATGCCTGTGTCATCGCATAAAGTGCTGGGCACTGGAGCACATCCAGGGAGCCTGCAGAGTGTCCTGTGCACAGGACAGCTCAGGAGGAGCTTTCAGTGCTGCTGGGACCCGACAGGATTGCTCTGGGCAGCTCCTGAGGCAGGGAGGGACAGGGACAGCGCAGAGCTGCTCCCTGCTGTGTCTCCGGGCTTCACTCCTTGCTGGGTTCTCAGGGCTGTCAGAGACAAGGGATCTTTTCCCTCAGTGCTGGATGGGGAAACTGCTGCTGGGTGAGCTCCTGTGTCACGTGGGAAGGGGTTTGTTCCATCCTTGAAGATGCTTTTGAGCATTTCCAAGACTCCATCTCTGAGCTACAAGGGGGCTAAGCAATTTGGGAGAGCAATTAAGGTTTGATGGGTCAGTCCAGCTGCTGGTGGGTTTGAGGGCTCCTTTCTCAGTTCCAGGKGTGAGATGCTCCTTCAGGTCACCTGGGAATCTCTCTCACTCCCTTTCTCTGGTTTGTGGATCACTGCACTGGGATGTGCATCCATCCATCCCTCCATCCATCCGTCCATCCTGCCTGCAGGTGCCTCTCTCCATCCCCACCCGTGTTCATCCTCCCCTTCCTCTGGGCAGGCAGCAGCACCTGGCTTGGCTGGAGTGTGCTTCTGGGGAGATTCTCCCTGTTTTTCAGACCAGGGAACCTGCAGCAGGAGCAGGGCAGGGGCCAGGTGCCTCCATCTCCCATGGGTGCCAGTGCCCAGGAGCCTTTGAGCCCTGTGTTTGCCTCCATCTCCCATTGGTTCCAGTGCCCAGGAGCCTTCCAACCCTCCCTCCACACCTTTCTCCAGCCTGGCATTTTGGCAGAGGCCGCCCCGTGGTCTGTGCCGTGCTGGCAGTGTCCATCTCCTGCTCTGCAAAATGTTTCCATATTTATGTGTCCAGGGCGATGGGCCTCGTCCAATGATTCTGTAAAAACTAAAGAAACTGTAAATAAAGTTTAGCATTCCTATTGTAACAAATTAATTTTTATGCAATAAATTATATTTCCTAGTCTAATAAAAAAAAAAACAAAAAAACAAAAAAACAAGGAAACAATCTGCTGGCTCCTCTCGTGTTCATAACTCACCGGTTCCAGCTCAGGGGGACCAGTTGCCACCAGGAGATGGCAACCTTGTCCATGCTCTGGGTGGGAGTGGGAACTCTGTAACTARGGGGAAAAAAGTGGGGAGGAAATCTCCAGCCTGCCACCACAGGGCCTTTCCAGCTCYGGGCAGGATGCTGGGGCAGATGCCTTCTCAGAAGGGAGAACCTTTTCCAAGAGTCCTGCAATGGTTTGGGTTGGAAGGAACCTTACAGACAATCCTGTTCCACCTTCCACTATCCCAGGGTGCTCCAAGCCCTGTCCAGCCTGGTCTTGAACACTTCCAGGGCAGCCACAGCTTCTCTGGGCACCCTGTGCCAGGGCCTCACCACCCTCAGAGGGAAGAATTTCTTCCCAATCTCCAGTATAAACCTGCCCTGTGACAGTTTAAAGCCATTCCCGCTCATCCCTTCCTTTACATCTGAATTCCTTTAGCTTCCACCTYCCACGTTGCTTTCCCTGGGCATTTTTTGTGCTAAACCATCTTTCCAAGGGCCCCAGTCTGTGGATGCCTGACCCAACTGGTGCCCAGTTTTTTTCTGTTAGAAACACCCAGTTTGCTCACTGCCCTTAGAACCCAGCCGCCCCAAATCCCTGCAGTGACACTTTGAACGCAGCTTCCGTGACAGGCTCAAGAACAGTGCTGATGGATTTATTCTGCAGGAGAGAGGACACCCAGGAGCAGCACTGGGGTGTCCCTAAACCTGTCCCCAGGCCCCTCTGTTTGCAGAGAGTCTCTGGAGTGTGGGTAATGTTGTCCAGCGGGGCCGTTGTGGCTTTGTCCCCCCCTGCCAGGCTGTCACAGTCCCCGGTGCTGATGTGATCCAAGGCTCTTCTCCAGCAGTGGGTTTTTTGACAAGATGGGTGGCAGCAGGTCAGAAATATCATGAGATTCCCTCAGAGCTGATGGGTTACTGACTTGGATAGGCCGTGCCATCTCCTCAGGTGCTTTCCCAGCCCAGCATGTCAACGTGAATGAAAATCCCGAGGAGAAAACTCTGCAGAGAAACCCACGTGCTCTTCTCAAGCATTTCCATCTCAGCACATCGCCAGTGGGCTGGTTGCGTGCTGCTTGCTTGTTTTGCTCACAGAAGAGGAAAAAATATCACGGGTTGTTGTGACATCTGGGTGGCTGAGGCCATCTGACCTGCTCTGCTCTGAGGCCTGAAGGCTGGAGAGGGGTGGGGGCGAGCTGGAGGTAGCTGGGCCCCTCTGTGTTTGTCCCATGGGTGAAAAAATCCACACTGGACCATTTTGTGTCCTTCTGCCAAAAAAAACAACCTGAAAAAACAGGTGAGTATTTTGCTTTGCTGAAGAAGGCTTGGATATCTGCACACATCCCCTGCTGAGGAGCCAGACACAGCTTTGGGGGAGGAAACAGGGAAAGAGGAGGTAAGGATGTTTTCCTTTACAGTCACACTGTGCCCTCAAAGGTGAGTGTTAAAATGTGGTTTGGAGAGAATCGAGGGCTTTGCAGTGGAATTCATCCCGATGGGGCATTGCAGGAAACACAGTGAGCAAAGGAGGAGTTTGTATCCCAGCTTGAGTAAGGGGCCACGCATCCAGAAGGTGCTCCCTTTTTCCCCACCCTCCCTCCTTCAGGAGGTGGTGTTTTGGGGACTTTTTACAAAAATCTGGCAAAAGCATTATTGCTACTGTACTGCAAACCGGGCTGGGATTAACACCGATTTTCATAGAACTGTGGATTGATTTGGGTTAGAAGGGGCCTTTAGGATCATCTTGTTCCTTCCCTGTGCCACAGGCAGGGAAACCTTCCACTAGACCAGGGTACTCCAAGACCTGTCCAGCCTGCCTTGGACACTTCCAGAGGCAGCCACAGCTTCTTTGGGCATCTCATCACCCTCACAAGGAAGGATGCCGAGTTAGGTGGGATATCCACCTAACCCTGCCCCTGGCAGTTTAAAGCCATTCCCTGTGTCCTGTCCCTCCATCCCTTGTCCCCAGTCCCTCTCCAGCTCTCCTGGAGCCTCTTTAGGCACTGCGAGGGGCGCCAAGGTCTCATCTCCCTGGAGCCTTCCCCTCTCCAGGTGAGCTCTCCCAGCCTGGCTCCATACTGGGAATCTCCAGCCCTCGGAGCATCCCCGTGGCCCCTCCCAGACTCCCTCCAGCAGCTCCACGCCCTTCCCGTGCGGGGACAGCAGAGATGACACGGGTGTGTNAATTTCTTCCCAATCTCCAGTATAAACCTGCCCTGTGACAGTTTAAAGCCATTCCCGCTCATCCCTTCCTTTACATCTGAATTCCTTTAGCTTCCACCTTCCACGTTGCTTTCCCTGGGCATTTTTTGTGCTAAACCATCTTTCCAAGGGCCCCAGTCTGTGGATGCCTGACCCAACTGGTGCCCAGTTTTTTTCTGTTAGAAACACCCAGTTTGCTCACTGCCCTTAGAACCCAGCCGCCCCAAATCCCTGCAGTGACACTTTGAACGCAGCTTCCGTGACAGGCTCAAGAACAGTGCTGATGGATTTATTCTGCAGGAGAGAGGACACCCAGGAGCAGCACTGGGGTGTCCCTAAACCTGTCCCCAGGCCCCTCTGTTTGCAGAGAGTCTCTGGAGTGTGGGTAATGTTGTCCAGCGGGGCCGTTGTGGCTTTGTCCCCCCCTGCCAGGCTGTCACAGTCCCCGGTGCTGATGTGATCCAAGGCTCTTCTCCAGCAGTGGGTTTTTTGACAAGATGGGTGGCAGCAGGTCAGAAATATCATGAGATTCCCTCAGAGCTGATGGGTTACTGACTTGGATAGGCCGTGCCATCTCCTCAGGTGCTTTCCCAGCCCAGCATGTCAACGTGAATGAAAATCCCGAGGAGAAAACTCTGCAGAGAAACCCACGTGCTCTTCTCAAGCATTTCCATCTCAGCACATCGCCAGTGGGCTGGTTGCGTGCTGCTTGCTTGTTTTGCTCACAGAAGAGGAAAAAATATCACGGGTTGTTGTGACATCTGGGTGGCTGAGGCCATCTGACCTGCTCTGCTCTGAGGCCTGAAGGCTGGAGAGGGGTGGGGGTGAGCTGGAGGTAGCTGGGTCCCTCTGTGTTTGTCCCATGGGTGAAAAAATCCAGACTGGACCATTTTGTGTCCTTCTGCCAAAAAAAACAACCTGAAAAAACAGGTGAGTATTTTGCTTTGCTGAAGAAGGCTTGGATATCTGCACACATCCCCTGCTGAGGAGCCAGACACAGCTTTGGGGGAGGAAACAGGGAAAGAGGAGGTAAGGATGTTTTCCTTTACAGTCACACTGTGCCCTCAAAGGTGAGTGTTAAAATGTGGTTTGGAGAGAATCGAGGGCTTTGCAGTGGAATTCATCCCGATGGGGCATTGCAGGAAACACAGTGAGCAAAGGAGGAGTTTGTATCCCAGCTTGAGTAAGGGGCCACGCATCCAGAAGGTGCTCCCTTTTTCCCCACCCTCCCTCCTTCAGGAGGTGGTGTTTTGGGGACTTTTTACAAAAATCTGGCAAAAGCATTATTGCTACTGTACTGCAAACCGGGCTGGGATTAACACCGATTTTCATAGAACTGTGGATTGATTTGGGTTAGAAGGGGCCTTTAGGATCATCTTGTTCCTTCCCTGTGCCACAGGCAGGGAAACCTTCCACTAGACCAGGGTGCTTCCAAGCCCTGTCCAGCCTGCCTTGGACACTTCCAGAGGCAGCCACAGCTTCTTTGGGCATCTCATCACCCTCACAAGGAAGGATTTCTTTCTAATATCCCACCTAACCCTGCCTCTGGCAGTTTAAAGCCATTCCCCCTTGTCCTGTCCCTCCATCCATTGTCCCCAGTCCCTCTCCAGCTCTCCTGGAGCCTCTTTAGGCCCTGCGAGAGGTGCCAAGATCTCATCTCCATGGAGCCTTCCCCTCTCCAGGTGAGCTCTCCCAGCCTGGCTCCATACTGGGAATCTCCAGCCCTCGGAGCATCCCCGTGGCCCACTCCAGACTCTCTCCAGCAGCTCCACGCCCTTCCCGTGCGGGGACAGCAGAGATGACACGGGTGTGTGCCACCGGAGGGGACCGCGCTTGGGACGGGCTGGGCGTGGCCGAGGGGCGGGGCCAATG